TCTGCGTCGATCTCCCGTGTTGAAAGTCAAAGGCCCGTTCACACTCTTGCAACCGAGTACGACCGAGAGAGACCAGACCGGTTTTTAAGCCTCTTGCGATCTCTTAAGGCCCGTTCACACTCTTGCGACCTCCTAAACTTGTGTTCCTTAAAACTTCTTAAACCAGAGAACACACTGGCGCCATCTATTGGGAAGCAGTGTAAACTCGGCGGTTCGGCATATTCTTTTTTATTTCTCGCGCATTATCCTTTCTTTCTTGACTCGAAAAACTTTTGTCAATGTTATAAACGAGCCTTTCTATGGGTATTACGCACATTTGACCTCGGAAATCCCGCAAAACCTTCGCTCTTGTGAAATGCAGTTCCAGGGTCACCGCATAGATGGCGCCACAATGCCGGTGTGTTCCCTCATTCTAAAAACATTTAAGAAGTTTTTGAGAGATCTCGTCTCTCTCAGTCGTACTCGGTCGCAAGAGTGTGAACGGGCCTTTAAGGTCCGTTCACACTCTTGCAACCGAGTACGACCGAGGGAGACCAGACCGGTTTTTAAGCCTTTTGCGACTTCTTAGGACCGGATGCGGTGCAGCGGGGCTGGTCCTAAGAGATCGCAAGAAGCTTAAAAACCGGTCTGGTCTCTCTCGGTCGTACTCGGTTGCAAGAGTGTGAACGGACCTTTAGGGGGCCAGCTCCGCTGGAGGCCATCCGGTCCTAAGAAGTCGCAAAAGGCTTAAAAACTGGTCTAGTCTGTCGGTCTAACTCGGTCGCAAGAGTGTGAACGGCGCTTTACGGTTCGGAATCGACGAACACCCAGAATATGGGTGAAGGAGAGAATGGGTACGTGGCAATGTGGCAAAGAAAAAGGGGTGGCAAGAGGAAAGAAAAAGAGAAGAGAGGGGGAAAAAGGAAAGAAGGGAAAGGGTACGCAACGTTGGACTGTAGGAGGAAAAGGGTCGCAGCGGTGAAGGAGACGTAAAAAATCACAGTCAGAGGCAGCCGCGTCAGTCTTTGCATGTTCCGATGCTTGCAGGCATGTTTCATTTTGGTTTTAATCGGGCTCAACCCAATCATTTCTTTGAGATAAAGCTTTGCAGAAATATCGAGTTAGCTTGAGCGGCGTCGCCGTCGGCGTAACGCGTTTTCGTGTGGCTCGCAAAAAAACGCACTAATTTCAGCGGGGAGTAGAGCACTTTCGCAATAGAAAAAATACTTCAAGCACGCTCATAGCGCACTTAATGTTACGCAGCTTTACAAACTAAGAACAGCCTGTTATGAGCGCCTCAGTTAGTGCAACGTGGGCAATGTTAACGTTCAAGTGTTTGCACTCATTTTTGTAATACAAAGTTTTTTTAGGTCATAATATCTTAATCTTATTGTTAACAGGTTGCACCGACGGATGTTCTGGGACCCTGCATTGTGTGGGGCGAAACGATACGGCTAGTCTGCGGAAACGAACCACGAAATGAAACCGACCTGCAACCAGACACGTCTCTCGAGAAAGGGCTGGTGCTATGCCTCTGTGTTTACTACTTAAAGAACGTAACATACCCAGCAGCATTTGGGCAGATGCTTGGTTTTGTACAGAGAGTAGTGAAACCAGCAAGCAGGTCTGAGGTAGCGTGGGCCCAGAAAATGTTGCGTGATCTTCTCTGAAAGTTGCACTCTCCCGAACAAAAATGTTTTTTTTTCATATTTTTTTTTGGAATGATTGGTGGGGGAGTTATGAATATCAAGATATTAATAGATCTAGTCAAGTGAACGAAAGGGCCCTTATTAATGAAAAATCTAAGGTATGTAGAAAAAGATTTCAAGTGTCACGTGGTCGAATGCTCCAAAACTAAATCAAGTCATTACGCCAATTCAATTTTTGCTAGCAAATGTTGACTTTCCTAACAAAGTCAACACTTTGGTCATTTGAGCTCATTTAATATTTATGCCAGTTTCATCTTTGTTAGCGAAGTGTTGACGTTGTTTAAACTGGTTGTGTTTCGTTACGAACCATTTTTAGAAGGAAAGACCTCCTTCTTATTTTGTGGTTAATTTCTTTTACATAATCACAAACTTGCCACCAAGCACAATTTTTCTAATATATCAATTGTTGTATGCTGTAGAAAATGAACCGCAAAGAAGTATGACACGACACAAATATCACTGCGTAGCTACAAAACATATGGTAACGAATTATATCTTGATATTTTTACTAACATTTACTGAAAAATACATCCTGATTCAAACCCGCTAAAATTCAAAATATTGACATTCGTTCATAGTTGTTTTATGATACTCATAGTTGTTGCAGTTCTTAGCAGTTAGCGGGCTTTATACTTTTTAACGGCTTATTTGTACAAAAAAAAAATTTTTTTTCTAATAAAGAGTTTAGCCCCGAGGCTGAAATTTGTTTGCCTTATTCTATTTAGTTCCTTTTTGACTGTTCCTTCTCTTCACTCTCAAATAATGCCGCCTTCTAGGCGCGTGAAATGTGCGTCGTGGTTGAAACCTCTGGCCGCTGACATTTGGCTTTTTCGCATTTAGTATATCGTCCCAATAATCTTAGGTATTGGGACGATCTACTAAATGCGAAAAAGCCCAATGCCCACGGCCAGAGGTCTCCCCCGCGGCACGCATTTCACACGCCTAGAAGGCGCCATTATCTAAGCGTGGAAAAAACGCACGCCGTAATAAGCGTGTAAATACAAGGGCCCCCTCACGCCTGCCAAGCGTTAAGCCATAGCACAGTTCACGCTTAGGGAGCGTGAATTCTAAGCGTTGAAAAACAGCACGCTTAGAACAAGCGTGTAAAAAATCGCTTTGCGTCACGCCTGCAAGCGTTAAACCTATGCTTAGTTCACGCTTATGGAGCGTGAATTCTAATCGTTGAAAAACACTACGCTTAAAACAAGCGTGCAAAAAATCGCTTTGCGTCACGCTTGCTCTGCGTGACCATTTTTAGAGTGTGTAGACAAGCACCATCACATGAACATGTTTCTTATCAGTCTTAAACGTAAAACTCTAGTTATGCAACGAAATTCCCATATCGGCACATTTTTAGCTAATTGAATGGCCCCACCTGTTGCACTTTAGCTTTGGGAGCAAACCAGTTCACAATACCACGAATGGTATATACATCGTGCCAAGCATTAGTGTCTTATGTTGCAGCAAAATGCCTTAACTCGGGAAGCAAACCTAATCGATCCTGTAGATTAAAGCACATAGATACGGAAGAAATTACCAATACATATTGAGGTCACTCGAAAGGGAAGTTTTCTCGCTGAACAAACATGACTTTTTATTGGATGTTATGCAATGTAAAGCCGAAGACGTTCACTCCGTGATCGGTACAGAAGCATTTTGTAGTCGGTCGTGCATGATAAAACAAAGGCAGATTAGAAACGCGATAGATTCGTTATTGCATGGGGTATTTACACTTAAAATCTGTCAACATAAAGCGACTACGGCCCACCTTGGTAGCAGCAATCTTAAAAATTTATCCGTGTAGTCGTCACGTCCACCAATCGAGAGCGTTGCCGCAAGTCCCTCCGCCGTCAACTTTCATCCTTTGTTAAGACTGTACTACTTCTCTGAGGCCCATATCCAGTCACTGAGCACACACACAAGCACAGGAAATAAGACTCGGTTGCTAGTACACACGAAGAACCCGGGGTGGAAAGCCCTAAATGCCAAACGAGCGGCGTCGGGTGACGGCGACTGACTGCGTAGTACACAGGTTGCGTTCCTTCGACGCCTGCATCGCTGCGGTGGGTGCTCGTAGCTAGTAGTAGCAGATAGTGTCACCTCTGTTGCTTGTACCGGAACACCAGAGCCGCGTAATATTCTTGCTTCCGTAGTTTGTAAGCCTACGTTCGCGGCCAACACACGCCAACGCCCAGCAAACCTATCCCCTTCTTTCTTTATCGGCGACCGGCCGCCAGGGTGGTGACACTGTCGCTGAAACTCCTCAATACCGAACCACTTAACGTTGCAAGAAATAAAGTCGTGTATACGTACTTTTCGAAGCTATTGAAAGAGTGTTGGTTTCGCTTGGAGCCCACGAGGAAAGAGCGCGACGAAGTGTCAACAAAGCCACAGAGCTTTGGACTGCGTCACTGCGTCGGCTGCGTCGATCCGTCGGTCGCGAGACGAGGGGCGCCCACTGCGCATGCTCGGCCAGGCTTGGCTACGGCGCAGGCTCTCTGCGCAGCTCCTTTCTAAGCGCGAGCTGGCGCGCGCGCAGGATAATGATGACGATGAAAACTTATTTTCACAAAAAAACGAGGCTGCAATGTATCGTTTGATGACGAAATGCACGTACTTTTCACGTCGTTTTTTTTACAGTGTGCGAATCTCGCGAAGCAGGCGATGAAGAGTGGTAGGTGAAATTGCTCGCATGTTGTCGTGAATTTTGTGTAGGAAGAAGGATTACCCAGAAAGGTAAGTCAAAATCGATAATTCTGCGCGTGAGAAGCCACTATATGTACGTGACCTGTCAAACCTATTCACCCTCGTTATTTTATCGTGCGAACCGAAATTGTCACGTATTGCGTTCGATTTGGGTCCCAACACCGGTAACCTCGTACTGTATATCGCGTTCGATGTTGTGTCCAACACTGATAACTTCGTATTCTATAACGTGTTCCATGTTGTATCCCACCCTCGGTAATTGATATCGTATTTGATGTTGTATCCCAACACTGATAGTTTCCTATTGTATGGCGATGAATTGTATCGCGGTACGTCCGGTTTATCGTTTGCCACTCAACTCTTATTGCATTACAACAGTTGCGATAAGCATTTGGTGGAAAACGATCAATCCAATGAGCACGTCGTTATTGGACTTTTTCATTATAGGAATCCCAACATCGAGGGAGCGCTCGTAATCAATCTGCGCCTTGTTCTGGTCCCTGGTAGGCAGCACATACAAACCAGCACTATGGCCTCGCAATCTAGGAGGTGTTGACGCTAGCATGACTGCCTGGCATTGTCAACGCGATCGAGGGACATACATACCTGCGCCAGGGAGGCGGCCAGGTAGGCGAGCAGAAAGGCGAGGCTCATGGATATGTAGCCGAACCGCAGCACTTTGGAGAGCACGGCGAACAGCGTCTGCCCCGGCAGCACGACCACGAGCAGCACGATGGCCACGTTGGACATCTCGCCCCGGGGCCAGAACATCTGGACGGGGCCCGTGCACGTGCGCTCTCCGGCAGGGAGCACGCCCAGCTGGCTCACGCGGAACAGGTAGCTGGACAGGCTGCAGCTGAAGATGGCCGCCAGGTTGCCGCCCAGCGCTGCGATCGAGGGCACGTCGCAGAGTGTCCACCGGGCAGTGTTGTAGGCGTTACAAAAAAGGGACGAAATACGTTAAGGCCGTAACGTATTTCGTCCCTTTTTTGTAACGTTACTGGTACGCATAAGGGCCACATCTAAAGAAATATGTCCATGCAGAAACTTACGGTAATTCCTTTATTCTTTCTATGCTTCCTCCTCAATACTCACGGGGAAAAGCACAAAGGAAAAATTATAGCGTACGCTACAGACACCTAAGACTGCTTACATTCCTACAAGCAGCGCGCCACGTCTTCCTTGCTCACACTGCGCTCCGGCGGTGACATCACGCTCTCCAGTGCTGCGCAGGCGTGGCGAACCCCGCCGGCGCCACGGCTTCCGTGACGATGCATCTGCGTTGCTGTGGTTTTCGCCAATGGGAATTTAACTCGTTTCGTCGCTACAGACGCTTACAGACAACGCCCGGTTCGCTCCATCGGGCAGTTAATGCTTTCGCATTAAAATGCGAGCACAAAATCCGCGACTTAAAGGGGCACTGACATATCAAAATCATTTTTTTTTTATTATCTGAAACGATTGAAAACGATGCCGGGACATTACCCTCAAAATTTGAAATTTTGGAATTCAGTATTTTTGAAGTAAAAAAAAAAATTCCAAATGCCGAATTCGAAGTTTCCGCGCTATCCGCGCCGGTGCGTTGACGTCAAATATTGCGGAGACCTGAGAGTCCACTTCCTTTCACGATTCCCTGCTGTTGCCATGGCGACCCAAAGCGAGGAGGAAAGGAGCGAGCGCCCGGCGGACCGGTTTTGAGCGGTGTCACCTGTTTTCTGTGGGAGGATACAAATCCAGGAGATGGCACCACAACGAACTTCCGATTTTTGGTATTTCAAAAAGAAGGGCCGTAATGCGTTCGCAATTGCGTTAAAAAACATGTATTAGGATTGCCGTTATTAAATGTTCCAGAGATGCCGCCTACAAAGCTTCTAAATTTCATGATTCTTGACGTCACGGATCAAAAGAAGCGAGGAGGCGAAGGCGGGAGAATCAAACGCCAAAAATAAAAAGGCGCGCGCGCGCGCGGGAAATTTGTTTTTCGCGATGCGGTTTTTTTTTGCGTGTCTATGACTGCAACTTGCATCCTTTTAGACAATAAAAAAAATACGACCTTTGGGGTGTCAATGCCCCTTTAACGCCTAGCAAAAAAATAAAAAAAAAATAAATTGAAGTGTATATTTTTAAGTCGTGGGAAGAAGATGGAACGAGTAACATAGCTGCGTTACCCGTTACTCGAAATAAGTGACGTAAGTTGGTCACCCTTTACTGTTTCTAAAATGTAACGAGCAAACTACTGCATTACGGAACATAGAACGCGTTGCCGATAACGCCGTTACTTGTAACGCGTTATCGCCAGTACTGCCAAAGGGTTACCCACGTTCAGGCGGAGCCTACGTGAGTCTGCAGGGACCGAGGCGGGCCGACTGCAGCGGTGGTCGGTGCTAGCTACGCCAGCCCCGGCGTACCAAAAATGCACCTCTCTACTGTCCGCCGCGCACTGACCAGGGGACTGTGTAGCGCATGCGCATAAAGAATGATTACACAGATTGATAGTGCAGACACTGCTTGCAGGTCTGACGAATAGCCGCTTCAGGCCGCCATCGCTCCCAGGCTCCGGAACTCCCAGTGCCTCTGCGTAAGTGCGGGGCTAGCCTGGTCCAAAGGCCACGCGAAGAAAGAAAACGAATTTCGAGGCGCTAATTGTTTTCTGGGTAGTTCGGCTCTCATATGTCATGTAGAAATAAAAACCTTGGGGAGCATAAATACCCTGCCAGTGTCCCTTTAAAGTGAAACGGACTATTTGCCACGTGCACTGCCAAAAGCGTGTCCGTCCTCGCGATAGACCGCTCGCAAAATCAAAGCGATCCTAGCGGCGTAGTGCCACGCAAAGGATCTTGGGTATCGTCTGTCTACCGTTTTAATTTAGATTTATCTGCCTTAGTTCACGACATTCCGTCAAAACAAAATACAGTGTACGCATTTTTGGAATATATGACTTGCCTTAAATATATGCTGTTGCCTCCCAATAGGAAAATAATGCCTGATATTATATTTGGGTCTCCCGATGTACCAGAGTTTTTGAGCAGGTAAACAAGGGAAGAAGTGCTGTACTCGGCTGATCATCTTGTTTTATCGTTTGAATCCTCTAGGCTTCTTGCACCATTCGTGACCCGGGAGGTGAGGGCCATGCTGCACTATGGAGTGGTGGTTAGGATGGCAGAAAGGTATGGGACGCGGCAGGCCTCACTCCTGCTCCTCGGCACGTCTAGACAGGTCCTTACGGCCGCCGGGGGTCCGTGTGTCAGCGGAGTCTCTCACGAAGATGAATGGGCGCGAAGCGAGCTAGAGCTGACTCTATTTTCATGCAGTGCTGAGGTGCACTGCTTCGTCAATGGGGCAATTGTAATGGAAACCATGCCACTCTTCTTCATGGCCAAAGATGTCCCATAACGCAACGCGCGCTGTGTTGCGTGCAGGGATTTTTGGAAGTAGTCTACTCGCGATTAGCCGAAAGCTCACTGTGCCGTTTTTACCTCGTTTAATTTTTCTTTCATCGACGGAAATCAGTGCAACAGCAGTGTCAACCACGACGACGCTCGTTTGAGGACGCGATGGCTCCAAGCTTTTTTATTATTCTCAAACGCACCATTGGGCTTGGGGTTTCGCAACTGATAAGTAGTCAAAGATTACAACTCCCGAAGTCACGGCGAGGGAAATTTTGATTGTGACGTAACGAACGAAAATTATGAAGGCGCCACTGAAAACGCTACACGCTACTAGGGGGCCTTCGAGTCCATGCACATGTTGTCTGGTAACGACTGCTCGGCCGTTTCCCCGGCTAGTCGTTCTGGCCTCTTTCTGCGCAAACACGCTGCTCTGTGTGGTGCTTCCACGCGACTTTGCCGCCGCATAAAACTTATGTATTCCTGTTTTCTTTGGCACGCGCTGGTGGCGCTGGAGCAAGAGGGAATGTCTGCACCCCGAGGCAGATACCCGGTAATGCACTCAAAAGCCGGCTAGGTTAACTTCATATCACTTGTCGTCACCTTTTGTAGGGTGATGGGAGCTCAGACATTCAAACCTTTTGCAATGTTGGCGACAGTTTTCTCCTTTTTTTTTTTTCTAGCCGTTATTTTGTTCTTAGGGCGCAGCTCTTAGGGGTTCGTTTCCTGCTTGAGCGGCGTCGGCGTCGGTGTCGGCGTAACCGCGCGGTGCATGATGGGTGAACTTCCTCGCTAAATTTAGCGGAAAATGTTTCTAGATAAATTTAGCGGAAAATTTTCTCCGACAAATTTCGCGGACAATTTTCCCCGCTAAATTGAGCGAAATAATTTCTCCGCTAAATCTAGCCAAAAACTTTTCTCGCTAAATTTAGCGTAAAATTCTTCCCGCTAAATATAGCGGAAAACATTTTCCGCTAGATTTAGCGGAAAAATTTCCCCGCTATATTTAGCGATAATTTTCTTCGCTAAATTAAGCGAGAAATTTTACCCGCTAAATTTAGCGGAAAAATTTCCCCGCTGAATTTAGCGGAAAATTTTCCCCTCTAAATTTAGCGGAAAAATTTACCCGCTAAATTTGCCGAGAAAAATTCTCCACCAAAATTCAGCGGAAAATTTTCCCCGCTAAATTTAAAGGAAAAAGCTTTCCGCGAAATTTAGCGGAATATTTTCCCGACTAAATTTATCAGAAAGATATCCCCGGTAAATTTAGCGGAAAAAATTCCCCGCTAAAATTTTCCATGCCAAGTATAGCGGAAAACTTTTCACCGCCAAATTTAGCGGAAAAAATTCCCCGCTAAATATAGCGGTAAAATTTCCCCGCTAAATTTAGCGGAAATTTTTTCCCTAAATGGGCGCCGAGCAGGAGAGGAGGAGGGGCATAGCCCCCTCTCCGTACCTTCCCCTCATCCTCCTGAAGAGCTGCGCTCTAATTCGGCGTTACAGGGAGTTGTAAACGGCTTTAATTTTTTTGTTTTGTTTTTGGTATAAGGGCCATGTATACAGAGCGCACGTGCTTGTTTGTGCTCGAGTCGGTCTCTTTTCTTTTGTTCGCGGCGTCGTTGTCTCGATTGCTCGAGGCTCGAGCCATTTGATCCGCGTACAGTCACGGCTTGGCGTCGCAGTGGCTGCAAGCAATGCAGGCACTAATTCTACGAGGAATTCTGTAATCTTCGTTCAGGACTCAAAGGATGTCTGTGTTGTCGACGAGCCATTCGTTGGCTGGAAGTTCACCACGTGACACTGGCCAGGTTTAAACTGACTGGCCTTATTCTTCATAAGGGAAAGAAGGTGAACTTCTACAATAGCCGGAGGGACGCGAGACAGTGCCATTTTGGTGTGGACTTGAGCGCTTCATCACGCGTCAATGATACCGTAATCCCTAAGAATCTGGAAATAAATAAATGTGCATAGTTTGCCGAACTAAATTCGAGTAAATAAACCTTCAAAAACATCGCCGCGTTGAATCTCTCCAGCTCGCCCCTGCCTCCGCGTCATTGTCGACACAATGGAATGAACCAGCACTTCCTGTGCCAAGCTGCCATTCCCAACAACAATAAAATCTTCCCTCTTTCTTTGGGAGATGCAGCGCAATGCTCCTCAGCACGAAAGCGTGGCTGTGGGAGACGAGTCCTCCAAACCCGCAGCAACCCGGCCTTTAGGGGTGTATTTCTGCGTTTGATACCAACCAATGAGCGCGTTTGCGAAAATGAAGGGAATATATTGTACGGCCGGATACCGCTAGCGAGCCGCATTCACTTACCGTTGACCGAAGACAGATGCAGGGCAATGCCGGGAAACCGCATGACCGAGTAGTCCAGAATGAAGCCACCAAAACTGCAGGTGTATTCGTGCGCAAAGAATCGGTAAAAGTTGCTTTAATTAGGGCATTTAACATTCAGAAAAAAACAAAACTCCTAAGCTTCCTGAATGGCGCAAGCATC